GGAACTGACGAAAGCTTTAGATGAGTTAACAGGAAATGTGAGGATACCTTCATAATATTTCTCTTAACATAATAGTACAAATGGATATTTAACTACAAATCACCATTTAACAAAATACAATGTATTTTATATTAAAAGGAAATTTGATATGCATTTCGGTCTAAGCTTTAATGATGTTCAAAACACCACCATAGAGAACTTTCATTGCTTTTAGGCAAACACAATCACAATGCCTTCTGAATCCAAGGTGCTGTGCCTGTTGCATTCTCCATCCGTTTGCCTAGCCATAATAACCCTTGGTCCTTCGTCCTTCGACGGCTGTTGTTTGCCCAACTGATTGCCGAGTGGAATGCGAAAACGCAAACAATTGCTCAGCGTCGGCAAAATATGCTGCTCAATACCCGAGATATAGTCGGCAGATCCGGAGGATACGGATATGGCCGATGGCTGCGAGACAGATGGTCGTCACACCAAAAGCGAAATAATGAATGTTTAGCCAAAGCGGCGACGACAAACAAGAGAAATGGGTTTTTGTTAAGGGGAAAATCCAACAGCAGAACCTATTCCATATCCTGCTATTATTGCTTTGAGAGATATTTTATTTTCAAGGTCTAATTTTATTTTGGCAAGCTCTTAAAACATTTTTTATTATCAATTTACATTTCCCCAAAGAATTTTAAATGATTTTGAAATCATTAGTTAACTTTTCCCGCTCTCCTTAAATTGTTTTTCAATAAATAAACGCCTAATTTTCATTAGAGAGTATGTCAAGATCTAAGCCACCCACAAATGCATTTTCCCACATTTTTTTTGGCAAAGGCGGAAAATGGGGAATGCCGAATACAGAGCCGAAATACTTTTTGGTCTCGTGCTGTTTGTTTGTTCGTTTTTTTTTGTGTTGGCCATGTGGAAAAGTTATGAGGCGCCGCGAGGGCCAAACACACGCATACATTCTGAGGAAAAAAGGAGTTCAGGCCTCAAGGATTTGACGCTCGGCTGCCTGCGAAAAGAAGAAAAATTGGGGAAAAAAGGGCGGAAAGATGGCCTTGCATTAAATCGCATTTTCCCCCTTATTCGCCAGTGGATTTGTGGCACAGCGGAAATCTATTACTCGTTCTGCTCTCATCGATTGTAATGGATCTGAGGACTTTAATCACGGCTGCCTAATGAAAATTGAAGACCATGTTTGCGAACATGGCAATAAACGGACATATATTCATGTTATGTCCTGTCCAACACTTGATGCATGGATCCAGAGACCAGAAGCCAGAAGCCAAAACGCAAAAACCATTTTGACCCAAATTATGTGGAGCCCACTGATGTTGTGGCCAAATTGAATGCCATTAACCGAAGCGAAGAGCAAGTTTACCAGCTATTGTTTACATTAATGGGTTTGTCAGCCAGAAGGGTTGGACCCAGCGTCCTGAAAGCAAACATTTGTCACACAAGAGCTCAAATTGAGAAATTTTAAACGAAACTGCATTGTCCAAAAGTTTCTTGCTAGGTGCAGAAATTAATTCTTAGAAATGTATTCATTTAAGTCCAATAAATTGTTAGTCAGTTTATAAAACGTTTAGTAAACTGCTTAAAATTTAACTATTTATTTTTTTAATATTTATTCTTTTTTGGCTAAAAAGTGTGTTTATATTATTAACTACAACTAAGCAATAAAATCATGTTGCTAAATACGAATGTTTTGATTTCACAGTCAACTTTATTCCATTATGTCTCACTTAAAGGGCGTTTAGAGGGTATTTTTCCCCTTTGATTTTTGGCAGCACATTCCTTTATCTATTATTATCGGAATTTGATGAGTTTCATGGTCGAAACGACAGGGTTTTGTTGGGTTTTGGCAGTGGTTTCGATCACATTGCCGCGGGCGGTTGGAGTAATTAAAGCCACGCCCGAATGTAGGCTTTAATTTATGCTGATGCGGCAGCCAAGGAAATCAGAGAACTCATTAGTGTGTGTGCGTGTTGGCCACATTAATGAAGGCCTTCACGCCCACACACACAAAACGAAGAAGGCGTGGCAGCTGCTGTGCGTGAAGGTAATTTTAAATTGCATATCGCCACACACTTGATTTTAATTTGATTTCGCCCCGGCGACAATTCCATCTCCGGCAATCTGCAACCGGATACGGCAATTAGAGTGAAGGCGCCACCGGGAAATATGGCTTTAATAGGTGGCCAAATGGAGGGAAAAATGGCTGAGACAACTGTGTCCTTTTTCACTTCCCGCAGGCAAAAACCAACTCAAAAGGCAATAACAGATTTTTTATTATTTCATGGATAGCTAAGTATTTGCTCTTGTCTTTTCCTTTTTTTGTTTGACTTACCAACCAATAAAATTTGAGATTTATCATGGCTGTGGACGAAATGGACAGCGATCGGAAATCGTTTTCTTAAATTATTAAATTGTATAAATAATAATTTATATAATCTTTGTTGTTTTGGCCAAAATTTAAAACTTACTTGGCAAATACAGAAATTAATGTATTTAAATTAAATCCTGCTAAATCAATACACAAAATACAAAGGCATAAAATTTATATAAAAAAGTTAAGTTAAAAGAAATTTATTTTTAAAATCTTATGTGCCTGCATCGTTAGGCTTCATTGGCGATCTATCATTCCAGCTCATTTGCAATTCAGTTTAAATCAGAGAGCAAAAAGCCGGAGTCCTCGGGCAAACCGCAAATTGCATTTTCGAGTTACAATGGCCGACAGATACATTCACATCTCGACCTCCTGGCATATTCAATTTCAATTTCCATTTACATTTACATTTTCATTTAAATGCATAAAATCCCAGCCGAAAAATCCACATTAAAGGGCAGCTGTGCCACCTGTCCTGGAATTCTCTAACCAAAATTCCGTATCTAGGTCAGGCCCCCAAGCTTGTTTGGGCTTTCCCCATTTTTTCTGGTTTTGTGTTGCAATAAATTGCTTAAATATGAGCTCCTGGTCACTGGGAGAATTTAAAGAATTAGGGAATTTCAAAGGGCTTTCACTGATAGAGCTCGCATTGCGACTAAAAAGCCTTAAGAAATGCACAAGAACAAAATTTACTCAATAATCTATGCGATTTAGTAAAAACTTTTTATTAAAAAAATATATTTATTTCAAGCCATAATTTAAATTGGTTTGATTGCTTAACTTAATAAGTTTTAAATATATTTTATCCTCACAGAATTTATGTTTGTTGGTTCTTAAAAAAATATATAATATATACAATAATTTTATAATTATAATTATTATTTCATTTTTAAGGGGCAATCAAATCAATTAGTCTACATATTTATTTTTAGGTGGAAATATATTTCCTCTTTCGACGGGTGCAACTTAAACATTTAATGTTATGAGTTATTTTATTGTGTCGGGTTTTTTATTCAGAATTCAATTTAAGAAACAATTAATAGAAATGTTGAAGTGAACTTTAGATTTCTATACCACCACTTTCTTTTTCTAAGTGCACCTCCCTCATTTGCCGAATCGCCCGATTTGTTGGATTTTATCTTCTCCATTTCGCATCATATTTCCATCTACAAATTTCACAGCTGAATCAATGCATTCAGGCTGATGACGTTAATCACTTTGAAATGCGGTCAGTAGTAGGATTCTATTCCGCTGACATTGGGCGTTGGCCGCAGTGGGCGGGGGGCGGTTGGGTGGGCGTGGCTAATTGCGACGGTCGAACATAAATTCAGCAAAAAGCTGACAGGCTAAGAAAGAGAGGAAATATGGCGATTATGAGAGGGACAGAGAGAGGGAACAGCATTCGCATTGAAAAGGGAGCAAGCGAGATGACTTAGCACCCCGCTCATCCGGAAATGCAACTTCCGCTTCGGCGACCCCAAAAGGGCGCGGAAATTCAAAGCAGCCTCGCTGAAGAGGAAGGCCAAAGCCAAAGCCAAAGTCAAACAGAAAACGAAGAACTAAACAAATAAAATGGCATACAACTGGGGGAAAACCGGGGGAAAAGACTCGGGGATTGCAGATGCTGTCATGCAAACTGAAATGATGTCAACAGCGTGTGCTGCCTGAAAATCTGCATTAAAAATGTCAAAAAATTACTCAGCCAAGGTGAGGGGGTGCGGGAGCTGTGGGGGATCCTAAAAGGTGTTAGAGCTCAAATTGAAAAAAAAATTAAATGCAAATTTTGCGGTCAGTTGGTCACGTACTGCTCCAAAATAAATATATACATTTTAAATGAAACTCAGTTTACTACTACTAGTCCTACTTTGATGCCCCATTTATTCAGGGATTCCATTAATAATTAGGCAATTTAAAATGCATTAGCATGAATCAGAAAGAAATGCTAATTGGTGGGATTTGCAGAGACATATTCGCAAATAATAATAAACATCAAGCTTAAAGTCCCATTATAAATTAGTCTTCATTTATTTTAAATCACACCATTCTGAATGTTTATTATAAGCTTAATATAATGTTAAGATAAAGAAAACATTTTCATAGTTAGAATTCAAAATTCAAACTATTTGTAAGTGAAATTAATATACTATGCAAATAAAATAATTCAAATTGAAATACCTCTTTTAAATTTATATAAGTTTTGTTAAAAATCCTTTAAGTGCTAGGCCAACATATACGGCAACAAGGAATCACAAAAACACAGTTTCAAAGTCACGTCTTAAAGGCCAGACAGCTTGGCAGCCAGCCAAGCACAGTTTGAGGGCCACTGGTGCGGAGGCAAGTGAAGTGAAGTGTAGTTGAGTGATGTGGCCAAGTGCCAGGAGCGCTGACTAAACGATTGAAGTCAATTTCTGGCAAAACGGAGGGCCAAAGGAGGTACGGGATGCGTGAGTCACCCGCCAAAACTCTTCACAAAAGGAAGAATGGGCCTTGATAAATGACTACCAATGGTGGAGGTCACCAAATATAATGGAATGAGCCGAACGGTCGAGTAACGATGATTTACATACTTTTTTAAAAGACGAAAAACCATTTTGTGTTTAAGAATTTTGATTGCAATTAGAACTAGGCGTCATTGGTTGTCATTTATTATTATTTTATTTTGAACACTGTGAGATATTAAGAAATTAATATTAAATGCAGTTTATACACTTTATGTATTACCAACTAGTGGTTTAAACCGGCTGCTCATTCCACATTTTCTGGCCGTAGACTGGAATGTCCGTCCGCGAGTCCGTCAAATCCTCCATATACAGACTCTCCACATAGACGGCGCCCAACTGAGCCTCCGCCTTCGACTCCGCCGGCCGCTGGCACTTCAGCCCAATATCCTGGACTCTGACGGGTCCGTCGAACTTGGCCACATAGTAACGCACCTGCCAGCCCGGGCCCAGGGATCTGGTGTCCTGCGGCAGCTTGGCATGGCCGCGGGGCAGGACGTCGTCGAGGGGCGAGAGGTAGCAGCGTTGTGGGGCCACAATTGCGCCACGATACTCCCCGCAAAACAAGTACAGCTCCGCATCATTCCTGCGCAGCGGCGTCACACGCAGAAGCAAATCAAAGTCGGTGGCTGCGGACACATCGCCGTTGATTTTAAAGGCATAGCCCAGGAGTAACACCCCGCGGGTCAGCTCGAAGTCAGTGACAAAGAGCCGGAAGGCCCGCTCGTAGTTGGTAACCAGAAGGGAACAGCCGCCGGCGAAGGCCTCGTCGAAATGATGCACTGCATTCCTGTCCAGCGGCACCGACGGCTGCAGCGACTGCCGCGACAGATTGAAGAAGGGGTGATCCTCGCCTGGGGTCCTTAGTCCCCGCTCGTAGCTCGCACGACCGGAACCCACGCAAAAGTCCGTGAAGAAGGGCAGCGAACTGTAGGGATGCGTGGCCAGAGTGGGCCAAATGCGAGCCCACCACGACTCGTTTCTGGCCAAGAAGGCCGAGTTCACCTGCTCCTCGCCGTGCGGGTTCTTGATATTGTAGCCAAAGCGATTGAGCGTCTCAAAGGACCAGCCAGGTGCAAAGATGCCCGCGGAGAAGCCCTTGTCCGCAATGCTCTCCATGCTCTGCTGACTCTGGAATCCGCCCTTGCAATTCCTGCCGAAGACATCCAATCCGATGAAAACGCGATGCCGGGCCGTCTGCTCCTTCCTGACCTGCTCGGCACTCCGCTCCAAGTGGCCCTCGCTCCAGGAATAGTTTATCAGGGTGCCATGGCTGCGCCGGAAGAACTCCGCATTGCGCGAGTTGAGCTCGTTCTGCCACAGGAGTTGGCCGCTCTCCGTAACGCTGTCGTACCAAAAGACACGTCCATGGGACACACGTGATTCCGTGGCGGTCGTCAGTTCCTGGACAAAGCGACTGAGGGGAAACAGGATAATAAAATAAGTATTAAAAGTTGGTTCAAGTGCTATTGCTTTATGATAAAGATATGCAGCTAATGCGAATCACATATTAAGCATGCTATTAGTACTTACAATACAATTTGGTTTAGCATCAGCATTAAAAGAATATGTTTTTATTATAAAAATCATTAAAAAAACAAAGCACACACACCTTAATAACAATTTAAGTTACAACAATGAACTGGTTAAAAGTTTTTGGAATATAAAGAATATTTTTTAAATATTTATTTTTCCTGCATAAAAGTTGCTTGCTTTTGTTTAAGTAAACTTAAACACCAATAAGTAAACTTCCATCTGATGTAAAAATAGAAAAGCTAGTTTCAATGACAGCTCATGATTGATTGAATTGAAAAAGCTGTTGATAAATTGGACAGCCGATATGAGACTTAAGTTTGCTCTTGTGAGAAATTGGTCACAAAGGAGATGAAGTTGGTTGCCACAAAGTAAATGGTTTTTTATCTATTATTTTAATGACATAGAGCTTTTGTAGAGGCTTAAAAGGCATTCAGACTGCAGTACTGACATAGTAGTACTCACTAAAGATTGGGCATATTGCGCTGGGCCACAGTCACCTCCACGTTGACCAGCCATCCCTCGAAGCCAAAGTGCTCGCACAGACGGGTTAGGGCTTCCACCGTCCTGTTCACACTCTCCTCGCTGGCCAGGACCTCCTCCAGGAGTCCTGCCGCCTCCACGATGAACGTGCCCACCACGGGAACTCCGTGACGATGGGCGGCATTCAGCCAGCCGCTGGGCGGAATGGTCACGTACTCGTGGCTGAAGTAGCAGAAGTAATCCACGGCCGACCAGTGCACGAATCGATAGTCGTCGTACTTTTGCGAGCTGTGAAAGTGCCTGCAACAAATAAAATCAATTAAAAACTGATTTATCAAAAGTTCGGCCCGCATCAATTGCAAAACGATGTCAAATTACTATAGCATATAAGTTAAATTAAAGTTTTGTTTTATCTGCTTAAAAATGTTATCTGTTTCGATTAAATAGTTATATTTAAAAACAAAACAAATGCTCTAGCATCTGTTAAAAATTGTATGAGTGCAATTGAGGCGCATTAAACATTCTAGGTAATAGGGATTTTAAATACTTTAGTTGGCTAAAAATACAAACAAATAATAATGGCTATATGTAAAGTGGTTTAGGTAAGAAATGTTTGTCGTATGAATAAGAATGCTGTGCACTCAAAACAAATAATGGTTTTAGATAAGATTGTTTGACAGTAGTTTTTAGTAATGCAATCCCTTGTAAAAAATGCTTTCAAAAGGACGTAAAGCTGTTATTTGACTATAAATTCCTCGCTGTTCTCAATAAAACTCACCGATCCTCCAAGTAATTGCCCATCATGTCGTGGCAGACGAGCAGCTCCCTGCGATTTGCCTCGGTCACCGGTCGCCGCTGGCTGCCCACGAAGTCCACCTGCCGGTCCAAGTAGACCGCTCCGGACCGGACTGCGGTGTCCAGCGGCTGGACATACTGCCGCCAGTCGATGTCCCTGCTCCGCACCCGGAACTCCAGCAGCTGGCGGTTGTCCTTGATGGCCTCCGCCTCCAGTTGGGCTGCCAGGGAGGGGGAGATATATTTCCGACGCCGCTGAGACATTATTTTTAAGATCTTCCCGCGGATGCGAACCGCTCAAGGGTTTGGTTGGCAATGGAGAATGTGAATGAGAATGAGGACTGTGCAGCTCTTCACTGCACTTTTATCGCGATAATTTGCGCAGCGACCGCAATCAAATGGCATTGGATGGGTGTGGGTGTTATTAAAGCCGAGTCACACAGCAAAGAAAAATATATCACTAACTCGGGTAAATTTACATACTTATAGACATTAAAAAAAAAATGTTGATATTACCTGCTAAAATATTAGCTTAAATTGGTGTAAAGCCACTAGATTTGATTAACCTTTTTTTATGAACTTATCTCTCTTTCTCATACCAAAGCATTTATTAAGTAATCATTGAATATGGTTTTGCTAGTGGAACGCATTGCGTTAATGAGTTTTGAGTCCCCCTCCTTTTTTTTAATCAATTTTCCGGACAAACACTTAAAGTTTTTCAATTTTCGCACTCAGCACTTAACCCACTTAATGTGTTATGGTCAAGCTCTCGAGCTGGGCATTATTTCCGCTTGATAAATTCAAGTGCGATTACATGCAGCTATTATGCAAATTCAAAAATGCAATAGCAGGCTCTAGATATATGATTTTTCAATGAATGCCTGATTAAACAAACATTTGTTTGTACTACTGAATACTATTACCAGAATTTAGTAACCAAATTTAAATCGTGTGTTTCAGATTGACAGGAACTTTTGATATTTTTAAACATAGGAAATACCTATTGACATTTTTTACTAATTAAAAAAAGAACTTTAAGTATTAATTTTGTAATTAAGTGTTAAACTATAATTAACAGACACAGCTAGATTTCTAATTACCGAATATATTCCTAATAAAAAACCCAAACAAATATTAAAACTAGACGGTATGCAGTAATATCTCAGGTTTTTCGATTATCCCGAGGGGAAATTAGCAATCTTAATGAGCTTGTGCAGCAACTAACCACAAAAGAAAGGCGGTCCATAAATACCCGTGAGCTGCCAGGTAATCAGAGTGAATGTGTTCGCATCGGGGGATGAAAGGGGTTAAGTTAACCCACGGTGGCTGCAGTTGGCGCTTTTCAATTAGCCACCGCCACCGCCGCCGGCAACGTCAACCCACTGCACTTAATTCGCGGTGAAATAATGGCCAAACGCTTTATTTTCATTACCGAGCAGGGAGTTTCCTTTAAAGTTTTCCCTGGGAAAGCAAAAAACAAATGATTCAGTAATCGCCCATATTGCCGGGTTCCCCAAAAACTGCCAACTTTTTTCGCAATTTAAGTACGTGAGCCCCGAAAATTCCATTTCTAGTTTGCCATTTGTTGGCCTGAATTATTCAAGTCGAAAACCGAGTTAAAGCCACTTCACTAACGGGTTTTGGGCTTTGGGCCTGGTCAAAAGCGACCTTCGCACTCATTTCGATTGCAATTGCAGTTGTAAATGTGCAGCAGCAATGAAAACGGAAGGACGCTCCGTTTCCTGTTGTGTTTGCTGCTGCACTGCGAGAAAATATCTGAAGGTGAACAAAACATTCACCAAAATAATTATTTTGTATTTTAAGAAATGTATTAGTCAAATGCGGTCTGTTTTGTAACTAATTTGTTTGAATTTAGATTTTATAGTGAAATAAATGGTTTTAAAACCAAAAAATTATATTTTACTTTGCGTATGCTCTATGTACGTTTTCATACAAATTACTCATACGACACGTATGCCAGTAAATTACATTGTTTGATCAAAGCCAACAGTACGCATGAGGGATAAACTTTAAATACAATGCTGAGAACCTAAAACAAGTATTTTTCAACAAATATCTAGAAATCTGATAATGCACCAATGCTCAAATTAGCATGAGTATGAAATCACGAATTCTAAATTTTAAGATGACTTCCTTTTTTCTCTCTGTGTTTGGTCGAAACTTTTTGCAACTGATGCAGATATGGCAGAGAAAAGGGACGAGGGGCGTGGCATTTTCATGCAATTCGTGCCCGGGCGTAACTTTAATCTATCACGGATGCCAGGATATGGATTCTGGCCAGGAACAAGCGGTGCATGCGAATGAGCCACATGTCTGGACATTATCTTTCGGTCAGAAATTGTGAAAGGGAAAAAAGGAGAGCGGCTGTTCTTAAACGGCTCTTGATTGACACTTTATTTAAATTTGTTTAATTTATATGATCTTTGCAATAATCTCTTAAACATTAAGATAAATATTTAACAATCATACTTCTAAACAGTGTAAAAAAATATATTTTATTTGTTGTAGTTTTTACCTTATTTTGTTATATTATTAGAATTTTGATTAAAAACTTAATAATAACTAATATAATTCAAAGCCATTTAGGTAATACTCTGGTAAATACACAACTTTTTTTCTAAAATGGAAACCATTAGTTTTTAAGATGAGTAATGAAAATGTTTTGATGATAACCGTTATCGCTAATATAAATAATTGGTGCATACGTGTTATTTAAAGAGCAAAAGAGACGGATAATGAAAAAAGTGTAGGTGAGAAAGAGAAGGACTTACAGCATCTACAGGTGCTTTTATCCTGGCACTGTTCCCTTTGCATTTCACCTGCAGCTATCTCTTTCTTGCCCGCGAATTCTTCCGCTTTCGTCTCTTTCTTTCTCTGCTCTTCTTCATCTTTTTTCTCATCCAACTTCTGCTTCTTCTTGGGAACTTCTGCTTCTTCTTCTTCGCGCACCAAAATGCCGGTGTTTTTGTCGTTTTCACTATCAATTTCTTTATTTTCCATCACTTTGCTGGTGCTTTTCACCTCTTTGAGCTCTGAGTTTTCTATTTCACTCATTTAATCAATTAGTTTTTATCTTAAGAACATTAAATTTGGTAGAAATGTCACCAAAAGTAATATATTTATTTACTTACACACAGCTGATTGCACACTGCTTCCTCTTCTTCATCAGTGCTGTAAAACATCAAATGGCAGTGTTGCAAATCATCTGCCTTTAACCCGCTCAAAATTTAAATTCAAATGAACACACTCATTTTCTTTTCACTTCTTTTTTTATAGCTCAAACTGGCGCCATCCAAGGACCTAGATGAAATCGAAATGCAGGCAAAGCACATCAATTGTAATTAAGCAAGGACAAACAATCGAGAAAAGAGGAGGAGAAAAGAAGCTTAAATATCCGAAGTAGCTGCAAAAGCAACAAATATCTCGTACAAATTTCCTGGCCAGCGAGCCAAGTAGCAACAAAAAAAAAGAAAAAAATAAATTTTTAATTTATTAGTTGGCTGAACTTTCCGCAAAATGCCAGCAGGTCGAGTGGCTGGCAAAGCCGGCTACTCCAATCACTATTACAATGGTGAGTTTTTTCGATGGCAGTCTGCCCTTTTTATCACCCACATTAAGTCCTTATACCAGTACCTTCATTATCTCAACCTCCAATTTATGACGTTTAAAAGTGCTCATTTTAATTTACTAATTAAATTGAAAGCAATCAAGTGCATCCAAAGTGCACAGGCAAAAAAAAAATGCTATCAAAAGAATACACACGAAGAAAACTAGCATTGTCAACATTTTTTAGGAAGTATTTATTTATTTGTTTGTTTTATTTATTAAATTATTAATGTTGTGAAGGTTATTCTGTATAGACTAAACTGATCATTTTGTTAATTGTTTTGTGTTCTTAACTTTAAAAATGAGTATATATATATATATTACATAATTCACAAAGTCATTTGAGTTACATTTTAAAGAAAAAATCGATGGTGATCTAGGTTTTTTTAATTTTTAGTAGATTCTTTCGACCCAATCTCTTGCTTTAACTATGAAATACCCCAACTGATCGGTGTGCTCTTCCAGGACGCTCGTACGTGGGCATCAACGAGGAGATCATGTGGGTGAGCATTGGCATGGGCGTCACCATAGTGCTCCTGATCACGATCGCCCTGTGCTACATTGCCCGCGAGAAGTGCCAGAAGCGGCAGCGGGAGTACTACGTGACCGCATAGTTGTTGTACGCGGCCTGCCAATCGAGGGAGGAGCAGGGGCATCCCCGGGACCAGGCCAGGATCCCCACGGAGCGCGGGGATCAGCCCGGCAGTGTGGTCATGGAAGTGGGTGAGGAGCGAGGTGCTGCGAAGCCGGAGGAGGGGAATCCCGGAGGAGCGGACGGACCACCGCCAGGATCTCAAGCCGCCGTCACCGTCATTCATTGGACTGTGGTTGACATCTGCGGCGCACGCAGCTGGGGCTGACGTACATACACAACTAAATAAAGAACATGCGAACCACCAAGGCCACCCACCCACCCACAGAACCGCCCCCATTCCAACCACCCACCACCCACCACAACCACTATTACTATGGAACCCACTTCGCAGCCCAAGGCAGTTGAATGCGTTGATTTTTTTTTGTGTCGCCTATGAAAGTCGTTGTAAGCATATAATATAATATATTTAGAGAAAGTTACTTTAAAAACCAAACATGTTACTGAATTTGCCAAAATATAAAATATATTAATATACAATATTAAATAAAACGTGGAAGTTATTCATAGGCGTTTGTATGTACTGCAGAGGATTTATTATTTTATTATTATTTACTTGAAAATTTATGCTTGAAAAAAGGCAATTGAACTTTAAAAAAAATTAGCTTTTTGGTGAGGCATACATTATTTATTTATATTTTTGGAAAAAACAGCTGTCAGCTAATATAATTTACAATAATACACTTATATTGCTTTAAGGAAAAGGCTTGGAACTTAACTATTTTTGTTATTTGTTAATATAATATTTATTTATTAGTTTAAATCAATTAAATCAATTATTAGTTTGAATCAATTAAATTCAAATCTTCGCGCCTGCTTATGCCACATACTTCATGTCATGGCAACATCTATGGGCAGCACTGCCCAGCGCACAGCTGTTGCAAACGTTTCGTTGTGATTGCGCAAAGCAAGAAGAAGAGACGCGCACGTTTTATTTTATTTACAAAACTTCATTAATATTCCTTGAATTTCTGACACAAATGCGCAAAAATGGTGGATAATATAACGCTGAATGTGAATTCCAGGCCAGCGGCCCAGAAAAAACAACAAGTGAGTGACTGCCACTGGGCTAAATATGTAATTTCATATATTGTTTCTCTTATTTTCAGCGAGGGCCTTTGCAATCCGTCAAAAAACGTGCACAAAAATCTGAGGATTTTGACTTTACATTTAATGCAGAGAAGCCCAAAGTCAAGGCGATTGTGGTGAGAAGAAAGGCGGCTTCCACAAAAGTGGGAACCACGAATTCTGGGCCCTCCAATGCCACGAATTCTACAGCATCTGCAAGTTCAGTGCCTTCTACTCCTTCAGTTTCTTCCACCAATTCTTCAAAACCGGCTCTTTCTTCCTCTGCTAAAGCTGATATATCCTCCGGAGATCTGATGTTTAATGTTAGCACTTCGAAACCACCTGCCAAAAACATTGTGGGTGATGATTTCATGCTGAATGTGACCACAAAACCTGTCGTAATCACGCAAAAAGCCAAGCCAAAAATCACAAGAGCTGAAAGATTGGGCAAGAAACAGAAACAGGGTAAACCCGTGGTCAAGCTCAGCGATGAGCAGCTCACGCGGGCCTTGAAAAACCACAGAAAGCCCCAGAATCCCAACCAAATGCCAAGGGCAGGGGACATTTTCCGGGCTCAAATGGAGGAGGAGCGGAAAAAGAAGAGACGGGAAGAGGCAGGAGAAGATGAGGAATCCAGCGGAGATGAGGAGAAAGCAAAGCACAAGTCAACAAAAATATCCACTAAAGATTTGCCAGGAAAGACAGCTGGAAAACGAAAGAAGTCATTAGATTCCGATGAAGGATCAGCTGAATCCGGTCAAGAATCAGCAGAGGGTGATGAGGAATCCTCACCAGAATCGAAAAGACCCCAGCCATCGCGAGAGACCACCAAAAAGCCAACGAAAACCCCATCAAAAACTGGGGAAACCTCAACCAACAACCGTTTTCGCACCAAGAAGATAGGTCTCTTCGACCAAAGCGATGTGGAGGCACTCAAGCAACTGGGCCAAAGAGCTGTGAAGCCCGTCAAGGAGACCATATTTACGGGGTCCAAAATATCCACCCTGGGACTCCATCCACATGCCGTCAAGAACCTGGAGGATCTGCTCAGCATTCGAGAGCTAACCAGCGTGCAGCAGAAAACGATACCTGAGGTGCTGCAGGGCAAAGATGTGCTCGTGCGTTCGCAGACGGGCTCCGGAAAAACCCTGGCCTATGCCTTACCTTTGGTGGAAATGCTGCAAAAGCAGCAGCCCAAGATTCAGCGCAAAGATGGCGTGCTGGCCCTTGTGATTGTGCCCACAAGGGAGCTGGTGATCCAGACGTACGAGCTCATCCAGAAGCTGGTCAAGCCCTACACCTGGATTGTGCCCGGGAATTTACTGGGCGGCGAGAGCAGGAAAAGCGAGAAGGCCAGACTTAGGAAGGGCATCAACATACTGATAGGCACACCTGGTCGTCTGCTGGATCACCTGCTGCACACGGTCTCCTTCAAGCTCACCAAGCTGCAGTTCCTCATACTGGACGAAGCAGATCGGCTGCTGGAACTGGGCTACGAGCGCGATGTGAAGCAGTTGGTGGAGGCCATTGACAAGCAGCGTGCGGAGTGCGAGGACAAGGATCTGCCGCAGCTGCAAAGAATGCTCCTGAGTGCCACACTGACCTCGCAGGTCCAAGAACTGGCCGGTCTGACCCTTAGGAATCCCCTGTACATCGACAACAGCGATGAGGCGGCGAGTGCGGCCCTGAAGAGCAAGGATGGCTACCAGAAGGAGACCATCGAGGCCTTGTTGGAGGTGGACGACGGACTGGGCGAGTACCAGGAGGATGTGACGGGTGTGCTGAGTATTCCCGACAACCTGCAGCTCAGCTATGTGGTGGTGCCGCCCAAGCTGCGTCTGGTGGCTCTGTCTTCGCTGCTGGCCAAGGAAGTGGACGCCAGTCCGAAGGAGTTCAAGGCGATTGTGTTCATGAGCACCACGGAGATGGTGAACTTTCATCACGACATGCTGAACGAGGCGTTGACCAAGCGAATCCTGGACGAGGATGACGAGGAGGAGGAAGGCGATTCGGATGGGGATTCGGACACGCCACTGCTGCAGGGTCTGCGTTTCTTCAAGTGAGTCGGATTTGGAGTTTCAGTGCCTGATGATGCCCTTACTATCCTCCCTATTCTCCCACAGATTGCATGGCTCCATGACGCAGACGGAACGACAGGGCGTTTTCCGTGGCTTCCGCGATTGCGCCAGCTGCGTCCTGCTGGCCACCGATGTGGTGGGCCGTGGCATCGATGTGCCCGACATAAAGCTGGTGGTGCAGTACACGCCGCCGCAAACCACCGCCGATTTCGTCCACCGCGTGGGTCGAACGGCGCGGGCGGGTCGAAAGGGACGAGCTGTGCTCTTTTTGGCACCCAGCGAGGCGCAGTTCGTGCGGCATCTGGAGAAGAAGCGCATTCGCATCCAGCAGGGCGACATGTACGCCTACCTGCAGACCCTGCTGCCCAAGGACGACGAGGCCAGGACGGTGCAGGAGGCGGCCTCCAACCTGCAGCACAAGTTCCAGACGCTGCTCGAGGACGATCGCGAGCTGCACGACAAGTCCTGCAAAGGTAGGTCCTTTTAAGTCATTCAACTGTTTGAAAATCATGCTAAACTCATATAAAAGAACTGCATGTATCGATTTGTTTTCCATTTTATTAAGCTTCTGCAGGCCGATCGTTCCTATATGTATTTGTATTCTAAATCAACAAAAGGTTTTTATATGTTTCTATGACATAGTAAAAAACATGGACATAAAAATATAAATTTAGAGGTTTGTCACTTAGAAATTGGGGTCCAATGAGCTCTAGAATTGCAGTTTTTTGAACAAGGTTTTAAATTATTTCCACATCAAGAATATTAACTTCAATCAATGACATTTAAGCGTTCGATTAACACAGGAACCCGTTTTTTTTTTTCTTGTTTAAATTAGACTATACTGACCCGAATTGACCCTTCCTCATCCCGAACCATTGGATGAGTTCCCATGGCACTTACTTTTCCAATTGCCCCGACTCTGATCGTTGGACAAACTAGCAATTTAATCCTTTCACCAAAGAACATTAACTTTGTAATTACGATTTTTTTACAACACTGCGGAGGGTGAAGAGAAAAAAGCAAAACACACAAACGCTCTCCTATTTTTCCAATTATAAGTTGGAAGCCGGAGCCACGCCCCCGCTCTTTTGGCCGCCCCCCATGCCCAGTTATCATCCACGGGGCAGCGCGCGTTAAAAACACAAAAATTATTTCATATTTGAAGTTAATTTCGATTGCGTGTCAAATGAATCCCCCTCCGCCTCTCTCGGCGACCTCCAACCACCCACCGCAACCCAACGCCCACCACCCTCATCCGTCATCGCGGCAAGTGACCACCAGCAACTTCTTTCATCGCCTGATCCTTTTTTCTGCCTCCAGTTATTTCCACATTTTATTTTATTTGCCTTTCAAAACGGTGGTGGGAGCAGCTACCCCGTGGAAAATATCAACAAGGGTATATTACTTTCGAGCAATGCATTTGTACCCTTCAAAATAATTATTTTATGGAGAAATTCTTAAATCGAATTCGTTTTCAGCATTCAAAATAGTTGTTACCTCAAGAGAGTCTATGTATATAACATTTATTGCTTAAAAACTAACTTTTTAAACCATTAGATTATTTATTATACATTTGTTTGTAAAGCTAACTTTCTAACTATCTTAATGAAATGATATTTCATTAGTTTACTTTTTAGTAATGACTTTCTTAAAATTCAGTTTTTGTTATAAAAGATTATAAATTGTATTTGGATTAGACTGATTATCGTGTTTAAAGTAACTGGCTTCTATTCCCAATAAAATCCTTTTACAAGGTATCTGCTTGTCTGCCAGATGGCAATTTCCTTACTATCCTGCTGAACTTGTAATTGCAGCGTTGGAAAGGCTATGAAAAAAAGTTAATTAGATGTTACCAAGGCGCGTTTGAAGGGTTGAGAAAATCCAGACGATGTTTTTCCCCATTTTCCTGCGATTGAAACATAAAGGACATAAAGGAGTGGCAGGCAAGTGGAAACGATTCTAATCGAAAAGAGGCACCCAAAATGAATCATAAATGGGGTAAAGGCACCCAAAAACGGGCAATGATAGTGGAAGAACTCCTTTGATGGCTGATGGCGACTCGAAACAGGAAACGGAAACTGAGCGAAATATCGCAAAACAATGGCAAAACAGCAAGATAAATAAAGCATAAAGGATATATATAAGGCGGGGAGAGTCGAGAGTCGGTCAAAATGGCAACGCAAATTGCACTTAAGCGCCGAGTCAAGCGTCAAGACAGGAAGCCACTTGGCAAAACTTAAGAGCAGAGCAGCCAAAATGCCAGGATGCCCGACAGAGACGGCAATAGCCGGGGCCGAAAGAGACAGGGAGATACGTACACCCGGAATGGGAAAAATGTCCAGGAGGATGCAGTTTTCTACTGCTACTGCTCTGCTGCGTCCAATCAAAAAGCCATTAAAAAGTATTACGCTTGAACAAAACTGTACAAAGCAGCAGATAAAAGGCAGCCAGAAAAGGACAGCAAGTCGGGCGGTAGAAAGAGACGGGTAGTGCGGAGACAAACAAGAGAGGACAGAGAGGGAAGAACATCTGCGACTTGCATTGCATCGGTAATTGAAACAATTTTCAACTCGGAATTCACTTTTTGTCTTCAGGCGGCTTTTTAAACTTTCAGTAGCTTGCGCTACAGTGCGTTTCAAAGCTGTAAGACAAAGGTACGGGAAGTGTAAAAGATACAACTAAAATTATGTTACAAACTTTTTAAAATATGAATATTAATATTTCTTAAATGAATTTTAAGTGTTTCTGTAAATCAGATGACTTAAATTTTGACATCATAGTTTTTTATTTAATGGTATGCTGAAACCATTAAAAATCCTTTAACAATATTAATCCATATTTAAATAACAGTTATTCTCAAATAACAGAATTCAAATGGAGTCCCTCAATTTGTTGATATATCTCTCCCCAAAAACATCTGTTTTTAAATGCAGGATAATCCGCTGACATCCACTCTGATCCTCATAGTTCCCTTTTGACTTACAATCATTTTTGGCGTATTTAATGGTATATTTTCGCTGGCTTACCCCGGCTATTCCATTGTGTCGCATATTATCCCGCTGAAAAGAGTTCTGCTAATGCCTTTCACAACTAAGCCCCTGATGGCCCATAAGACCCCCGCACTCGGGCGACACCCCCGATTAGCTCTGCGGTGGGTATCAAGTGAGGAAAGCCCACCGAGAGCCCTTCGTTTTGGGGGTTGGGAAATGGCAATGGCAATGGGTGGACTGAAAAACAATCACAACAATTTGCCACGCCTACACAAACCGCATGGACACGCGCTGAAGAAACCACCCGGCGAAGCACCCACTCCTGAATTCAGAAAATCCAGAGAAAACCACCGAGACAATGGCATAAAAAGCCATTTTGTGCGGCTTCTGCGGTGGATTCCGTATTTCGTACTCTGCCGTCCGCACTCCGCACTCTCCCCCCGAATGACATTTATTTTATTCGCCACTTCCGGCTGGCAGACGTCTCTAAACATCCGCTGCCGTCATACTTTTTGTTTGCCTAATGTCTGCCACTTGGCCGTAATCGCATTTGCGGCAATTAAGCCAGGACCAGAGTCAGAGTCAGAGCCAGAAAGCCCAGGGCTTGACTTCGAGACTTTGGTCCCCGAAAAAGGACATGCGGGTGCAGAAAGGACGGCTGCGAGTTAATTGCCGGGGCAGGAACGTCTTTGCATTCATCTCTGCCGGGCCTGCTCCTGCCACTCCTCCTCCGTTTCCTGATTTCGCTCGCCGGGATCTGGAGTTCATTTCGAAGTTATCCTGGCCTTGTCCGGGAGCTGGAGGATTCGGTGTGTGTGGCCGGGATCTGCGGTTCTTTGGCAGTCAATTGTAAAGTCCTGGGAACGGAAGTTTATTAAAGCTAATTTAGTGGCTCACTATGTGATGAATAATACATTCTGGGTTAGATCTGTCATTTAAAAGATAATACTGAAATAGTGGTTGTTTTAAATGCATTTAAAACGTTAAGTAAAGAGCACTTCATTAATTTTTATATATAGTGGCTTATAAATAATAAGCATTAAAACCGTACTCGGAAAGTTAGTTAAAGTTTAAAGTTTCAATATTTAATTTAACTATTTAGAAAAAAGCATGATTAATTACATATTTACTAACTGATCTGTACGTATTATTGTAACAAAATGATAAAAATAATGTTTTTACAAAAAATTTACTACAAATTACTTTAGTACTTTTCAAACTATTTTAGCTTGTTTTCAAGAACTTTAATAACAAACGGGTTCGAGCAGAAAAATGTAGGTATCATTAGGTTTCTTATATAAAAGCAAAACAAGTTGTTCTTTTTGTAGTTAAAGACTCAATATTATATTTAAATTTTTAACCAAAATCTTTGGCATTCGGGGATATCCTCAGAAAGGATACACCGCTCCCCGCGACTCTCACTCGCATCTGTCTCGTTTCGTTTGGGAAGTGGCCTTCTTTGAGCATTTGCATTGCATTTTTCATTTCACATCGCATTTACATATCCCATTCCGCCGGGCGAGATGCTTATCGGGGTAACAATTGCGGTCCTGAGTGGCTCTGCTCCGTTGGTAATTTGATATCATTGTTGTATAATTTGGAATTGCCTGGCATAAGTGCTGCGTAATTAGCAAGGACATGCCCACAACAGCGAACCACAAGCGTGTACACATACAATGTATCCCTTCGCACACAATGCCCGTGTCTATTGTGGATGTGAAATCCTTTGCTGACACTGCTCATTTGTCATTTTAACAAATTTATTTTGTAATGAATGCGGCTCACACACACATGGCTCACACACAGACACACACACTGAGACACACATGCGCCGGCACTTAAGCCAAGACATCAATTAATTCTAAAGGCATTAACATCTCCGCTTCTCCCCTCCCCTTCCCTTCCCGCCCGCAGCCTTTGTCTCCTGGATGAAGTTCTACTCGACGTTTCCCAAGGAGCTGAAGCCCATCTTCAACGTGCGCATCGCCCACATGGGCCACTTCGCCAAGAGCTTCGCCCTCAAGGAGGCGCCCTCCAAGTTCGCCCCCAGCACGCCGCCCCCAAGGCGGCCCCGCCCACCAACCGACTGACCTACACGGAAAGGTAAGCGATCGAGATCGAGATTGAGAAACTATATTTTCTAGAAATATAATATAATGTTAGTTTACAAATGTTTGTTTTTTATTTATTTTAAATGCAGTTCAAATAACATATACAAAAATATATATACATGTTTAGAATTCTAAAGCTTAATAAGCTCTCAAACTTTGAAATAGTTATTGGTTTTAGGTTTAATTCGAAATCTAAAACAAAACACTAAGACTTGTCGAATTCAAGGTACTACATGGAAATCATGTAGTTTATGGGAGCACCATATATTTAAATATTTAATATTAAAAATGTTACAATTTAATTTGTCAGAAACGCAGATAGAAGCAATAAAAAGGTTGATTATTAAGTATGAAGGTTATAATTCTAATAATATAAATAAAATATAAAAGATCAGTAAGACAGAACAAAATAAGAGCAATATAAATCGGTTAATTGATAAGTAATGAACTGAGTTGTTGCTTGGGCTTACTGCATTTCAACTATTCAACTTGGCAACTATTCCGATTAGTTTATTTGTAATTGAATAATTCTCACTGTCATCTTATTGTTTTCTTGCAGAGATCCCGAGAAGATTCAGGCCCAGAAGCGGGCCAAGCGGCGATTCACGACGACGGTCAGCGGCGAAGTGCGTCAGTTGAATCAGCGGGACGGAGGAGCGCCGGAAGTCGATCGACGGAAGCCAGGACCTCAAGGATCAAGAGGAGGCTTCGTGGGAGGAGGAGTGGGACGCAGCAGCTTCATGAAGAGCCTGAGCAAATCGAGGACCCTGAATATATCCGAATTCGACAGCGGATTGCCGGCAGTGGGACCGGCAAAGCGGCGCAAGCAGGCGTAGGAAAAGGACTTTCAGTGGGAGGATTAGAAGGACTTGGAGGAGGAGGAGGAGGAACTACGGTCCGGATGGAGTTCGGAGCACTTTGCGGCACTTTATGCGCGCCATTTTGCCTGTCCGCTGTGCCTGCTCAAGCATTTAATCGAAAAGAAAATTGCTCCATATATATTATATATAAATATATATATATATATCTAAGTAAAAATCTAAGAAAACCCAAGGAGATGCGCTCATAAAAGTTTCATTTTTCTCAACTTTTAAGCCCGGACGTCCTGCGGGAAAAGTTGTGGCCGCCTGCCAGCATATTTTAAGCTTCCTTTTTATTTTTTCCCTACTGTTTTTCCTTTTTTTTTTTTTTTTTGCTTTTTGATTACTCGCCGTAATATGTCCGTTCATTTTTTGTGTGGGAAATATTAGAAATCCATTTTCCGCTCACTGCAGATTCATTCAGTTTTGAAAATGTCACCAGTGGCGGCGGGGGGTCAGAGGTCGGCACGTGTTGGCTTTTTATGCAACTGAAGCGCATAATTTGTTGGACAAGGCATAAATAAATATCGGATACATATAAACACTGTACAAACGATTTTTTTTCCGATCCAGGACACGTGGCTGAATCGCAGTTGCGGGGCCGTAAGCGTAGGGTATTATGGCCCTTAATTGCGCCCTCTCGATGGGATTGAAAGGCCCCTAATTAGACGGTCAGCGATTGATTTTTAATTAGGCCACTGGCCCACGCCCACGTCTATATGTCACTCAAAGTCAAAGTCAATCAAGCGTGAGCCATCGAACCGCCGTCGATTCCTAATTACGTGCGAGTGTCAACATATGAAATAATATTTTGGTATAAATGCGTCCATTAAAAGGAAACCCCCACTTCTCGGGGTGGTTATGTCAAGAGAAATGGGGTCCACTTGAGTGGAGGACTTGCGGTCAGGCGATTCCGGGAGGTGAATGTGGTGGCGAATGACTGGCTGGAAAACAGGCTTTGATCTGTTAATCGGGCGTTCTTACCAAAATTAATACAAATACATTGGCTTAATATGCTTTAATCGCATAATTAAATGTCAAGTTCAAATTTCCTTAATTCTAAATTGTATCATTTTTCTTTATTTATTTTTTTAATAAAACGAATTTTAGATTTTTATAAAACTCAAATACAAATTGATTTACTGACATTATTTTGAGACAAAAACTTTTAGGTTCCAAAGTATTATAAATCAAAATAAAACGATCAATATAGAACTACTTCCCAAGTTGTGTAAGCTTAAGTTAAAGAAGATAGTATATAGAGATTAAATATGAAATTTATGTATATATTAAATAGTTTGATTTTAGTTTATATACTTGAAAATAAGTTAATATTAATGATATTACTTTGCTTTGATCACCTTATGCGATTGCCGTCCACTTAACGCTCACCAATCGCGTAACGTAACCAATACTTTGGGAAACCAAACCAACAACTAGCACGAATAATTGTCACTTAGCAGGGGGCAATCCCGCAAACCCCCTCCCTCCCCACACCCATGGAAAACCCCACCCATTTATAGCTCCACCCAGTTGTCAACGCTGTGGGCCACATTAGAGTTGTCCTTTTGCCAGACGGAAAAAATGCTGACAGCTGTTTTGGGTCGTACTCGCTGTCGAAAAGCCCTCCCCCCATGCCCTTACCCCCTTCTATTTCAATAAAAGGGATCTAAAAAAAATAGGAAAATGGGGGAGGTCCAAAAAAAAACATGCAACATTTGCACCTGACCAACCAAGCAACAAAGGGCATTGTTAGTGCGCCACTACAACTTTATTACCACCCCCAGGACACAGATCTCCAATCGAGTGGAGGATTTTAATTTACCCTAATGCGTCTATAATTCGAGCCATTAGTGCAATCACATTAGCAATTTTCCGCGGCCAACCCTTTGCCGGCTGAGAGGGTGGTGAAAAGCCACTTTTCCCGAGATCCTGGCAGCAGGAACTGATCCAATTAGATCGGTCTTAATCATACATGCGAACACTGGGCTCAAATCAATCGAAAGTCTGGAGGGGATTACCAACAGATGTTGCCTGTTAGCCGGTTTTTCGGGGTTATATTATATATAGTGGCCACATTTTGTCTTGTAGTTATCCTTCTGTTCCAAAGAAAATCGTGTATTATATATTTACTCTTTTAATTAACAACAATATACATTACTTATTAAATATTTATTCAATCGTTTTAACTTAAAACTTTTAGGGGTTGTTAACGTTTTATTATTTTTTGAATTTTATTATTTATATTATCCTAGGTAAAATTAAATGTTATCTTTTCATTTAAATATTATATTACCCACTCAAGTTTGGTGTGTTTTACAATACAATTAAAGGCTTTATACAGCTTGGGTTATAAAAATATGAAAAAAATAGGCCTATAGCTTATTTCTTAAGCAGTTTCTTTAATTTGAATCCCTTTCTGCTTCTGTTCTACGCATTCGGAGCATGCAACTGGTAAGGCAAACCATCCCAGTCTCATTTTTATCCATCGTCGCCTCGCGTTAAAACCCAATTAATTTTGACGCTCAACTGGGGCGGTATTTCGTGGGTACTGAAAGATCATCTGTCATCTCCTTGAGATCTCGAGTGCTGTTCCTCTGGTGACCTCCAGTGGGGCGGCCACAACCGCTGCAACTGCACCGCCGTGGCAAAAAGTCCCTAATTGTTTGCATTTGCGTTGCAATTTAGCTGAAATCTCGCCTCTTGGCCAAATTGTCTTTAAATTGGCAGTTGGCGCTGAGCCTCATAAATCCAAGCAGCACCAGGTCTCGTCTTTTTCTGCCTTTTTAGCCCCTACCCGTTCTTATTGGAGAAGTATTGTTACCCTGCAAAAATTTTTTAGGTGGGGTATACTGGAAACCCATCTTTCGAAAATTTGGAAAGGGGTAACATCATTGAAAACGACGAAATATCGACCAAAAAAAAAATTTAACTAAAAACACAGATTTTTAGGGAATCAAACCGCGATGATTTTAAGGTATGCCACTTTGAAATCGGATGTCTGTAAGAAAAGTTATGAGCTTAGAAGTGCAGATTTTGGGCACTTTTCTGCAAACCCATTTTTTGTAAATTTGGAAAGGGGTAACATCATTAAAAATGACGAAATATCGACCCAAAAAAAAAAATTGAACTAAATACACAGATTTTTAGGGACTTAAGCCACGATCATTTTGAAGTATGCCACTTTGAAATCGGATGTCTGTAAGAAAAGTTATGAGCTTAGAAGTGCAGTTTTTCGACACTTTTCCGCAAACCCATTTTTCGTAAATTTGGAAAGGGGTAACATAATTAAAAATGACGAAATATCGACCCAAAAAAAAAAATTTAACTAAAAACACCGATTTTTAGGGAATCAAACCACGATGATTTTAAGGTATGCCACTTTGAAATCGGATGTCTGTAGGAAAAGTTATGAGCCTAGAAGTGCAGTTTTTGGACACTTTTCCGCAAACTCATTTTCCGCAAAATTTGGAAAGGGGTAACATCGTTGAAAATGACGATTTATCGATCCAAAAAAAAAAATTTAACTAAAAACACAGATTTTTAGGGAATAAAACCACGATGATTTTAAGGTATGCCACTTTGAAATCCGATGTCTGTAGGAAAAGTTATGATCTTAGGAGTGCAGATTTTGGGCACTTTTCTGCAAACCCATTTTTCGTAAATTTGGAAAGGGGTAACATCATTAAAAATGACGAAATATCGACCCAAAAAACAAAATTTAACTAAAAACACAGATTTTTAGGGAATTAAACCACGATCATTTTGAAGTATGCCACTTTAAAATCCGATGTGTGTAGGAAAAGTTATGATCTTAGGAGTGCAGATTTTGGGCACTTTTCTGCAAACCCATTTTTCGTAAATTTGGAACATCATTAAAAATGACGAAATATCGACCAAAAAAAAAAAATTTAACTAAAGAAGCAGATTTTTAGGAAATTAAACCACGATCATTTTGAAGTATGCCACTTTAAAATCCGATGTCTGTAGGAAAAGTTATGAGCCTAGAAGTGCAGTTTTTGGGCACTTTTCTGCAAACCCATTTTTCGTAAATTTGGAAAGGGGTAACATAATTAAAAATGACGAAATATCGACCCAAAAAAAAAAAAATTAACTAAAGAAGCAGATTTTTAGGAAATTAAACCACGATCATTTTAAAGTATGCCACTTTGAAATCGGATGTCTGTTAGAAAAGTTATGAGCCTAGAAGTGCAGTTTTTGGGCACTTTTCTGCAAACCCATTTTTCGTAAATTTGGAAAGGGGTAACATAATTAAAAATGACGAAATATCGACCCAAAAAAAAAATTTAACTAAAGAAGCAGATTTTTAGGAAATTAAACCACGATCATTTTGAAGTATGCCACTTTAAAATCCGATGTCTGTAGGAAAAGTTATGAGCCTAGAAGTGCAGTTTTTGGGCACTTTTCTGCAAACCCATTTTTCGTAAATTTGGAAAGGGGTAACATAATTAAAAATGACGAAATATCGACCCAAAAAAAAAAAATTAACTAAAGAAGCAGATTTTTAGGAAATTAAACCACGATCATTTTAAAGTATGCCACTTTGAAATCGGATGTCTGTAGGAAAAGTTATGAGCCTAGAAGTGCAGTTTTTGGGCACTTTTCTGCAAACCCATTTTTCGTAAATTTGGAAAGGGGTAACATAATTAAAAATGACGAAATATCGACCCAAAAAAAAAAATTTAACTAAAGAAGCAGATTTTTAGGAAATTAAACCACGATCATTTTGAAGTATGCCACTTTAAAATCCGATGTCTGTAGGAAAAGTTATGAGCCTAGAAGTGCAGTTTTTGGGCACTTTTCTGCAAACCCATTTTTCGTAAATTTGGAAAGGGGTAACATAATTAAAAATGACGAAATATCGACCCAAAAAAAAAAATTTAACTAAAGAAGCAGATTTTTAGGAAATTAAACCACGATCATTTTGAAGTATGCCACTTTAAAATCCGATGTCTGTAGGAAAAGTTATGAGCCTAGAAGTGCAGTTTTTGGGCACTTTTCTGCAAACCCATTTTTCGTAAATTTGGAAAGGGGTAACATAATTAAAAATGACGAAATATCGACCCAAAAAAAAAAAATTAACTAAAGAAGCAGATTTTTAGGAAATTAAACCACGATCATTTTAAAGTATGCCACTTTGAAATCGGATGTCTGTTAGAAAAGTTATGAGCCTAGAAGTGCAGTTTTTGGACACTTTTCGGCAAACCCATTTTCCGAAAATTTGGAAAGGGGTAACATCATTAAAAATGACGAAATATCGACCCAAAAAAAAAATTTAACTAAAAACACAGATTTTTAGGGAATCAAACCACGATGATTTTAAGGTATGCCACTTTGAAATCGGATGTCTGTAAGAAAAGTTATGAGCCTAGAAGTGCAGTTTTTGGACACTTTTCGGCAAACCCATTTTCGAAAATTTGGAAAGGGGTAACATCATTAAAAATGACGAAATATCGACCCAAAAAAAAAAATTTAACTAAAAACACAGATTTTTAGGGAATTAAACCACGATCATTTTGAACTATGCCACTTTGAAATCGGATGTCTGTAATAAAAGTTATGAGCCTAGAAGTGCAGTTTTTGGACACTTTTCGGCAAACCCATTTTCCGAAAATTTGGAAAGGGGTAACATCATTAAAAATGACGAAATATCGACCCAAAAAAAAAAATTTAACTAAAAACACAGATTTTTAGGGAATCAAACCACGATGATTTTAAGGTATGCCACTTTGAAATCGGATGTCTGTAAGGAAACTTATGAGCCTAAAAGTGCAGAAAAATTACGAAAAATCGGCCAACAAAAAAAAAACCAAAGTGAAAATGCAGAGTTTTAGAGAATTGAATCAGAAAAGTTATGAGCTTGGAAGTGCAGGTTTTATGTAAATTTTCTCCCAGGGTTTTGAATTAAAATTATAATAATGATGATTATCGGGGAAAAAATATATAAATTTGTATATTTTAAAGGGTATTAATTTGTCTATACTTTACTTTTGA